ATCACAGTGTGGGATATCTACGAACAAAAGTGATAGAAATAAAATAATCAAAATGAAAACAGCTAGATTAAAAAAAATCCCAAGCATCCCCTGTGTACGAATATAACAAATTTAATCCGATGAAGTCCTGAAGGACGAAACGTATCTAAAAAATTATATTAATATATATATATATATATATATATATATATATATATATATATATATATATATGCCTAAATCGACACTTTTTATCAAATGCTGATTTATCCCCCTATAAAATATAGAGTTCTAAATATTATTTTGCAGATAATGGCTTGGTACAAAATTGCTTATCTTAAATGAAGACCTCCAAGACATCTGTTGTCTCTTCGCGTCAAACTCCCAAGCTGACAGCAACGTGATGCCACTTTATCATTTGATATAATGCTATCAGATGTCAAGGAAGGTACCATTAGCAGAGGTCCAGATGTTGATAAAAGGAGAAATTAGATAAAACAGGACATTGACCTAAATGGTTTCAGAGTAAAAGAAAGGAGCAATTTCAGAAACTGCACCTATCTTAGAATGTCAGACTGAAGCCTGCATTGTAAGGAGTGACATCTATATAATATGTAACTATTTTAATAGCATTCTCTGATGGTTTCTTTTTTACTATAATCCGCGTTCCAACCGTAGTTCGTGATTATGGCTCTCCACAACTACTTATCCTTTGTTGCTCTAAGCAATGTTTATCCCTTTACTGTCCATGTTCTGCCATCCATTTACACAAACTCGTTATGTTAGTCGCTGTTTCATTTTGATCCTCTTGTCTTCAATGTACCTACCTTGTGAGTGTCAGATTCTCCAAGCACCCTTTCTTTACTATGTGTAGAAAAAATTTGAAGTGTCTTTTTTATCCTAAGCAAAACCGTCCTTTTCGTTCCCATTCTCTTTAAAAGTTCCTCGTTGAGCACATGTTCCGTCTAGGGTATTCTTAGCTTTCTTCTACGTTGCCTCAAGCCTCCTTTTCATATGGGAAGAATTTTTCCAGGATTGATTACCATATCGAAGGACAGATATTGCACGACACTTCAGCGCTTCTTCTTCGCGCTGCATCCCTTCATGATGAGTGCGACCATGGCTCAGCAAAATTTCCTGCCCTTTGTGTCCCTAAACAGTTTTTCTTCCTTTTGATAAGACTACCGGTCCCCATTTCACCATCCTTGATCTGCTTTGCACTCAATATGCCCTGTCAGGGTTAAGTTTTCCAAACCCCATTATGTGTCTAAGGAATTTCAGCTCTCTCTTTCTGATTTATGAATGGTATGTGTTTTTATTTTTTGTTATCATTTTCTTTAGGGCTTCTTCATTGCTTACTCTCTCCGTCCATGGAATTCTCAGTATTCCCCTGTAGCACCATATTTCTGTTGCCTCTAGGTTTCTCTTCATCTGTAGGGTGATTGTCCAGCATTCACTGACAGGTGAAGTGAGTGGATATCACATAGCAATACAGAACTCTTTTTCTCTGTTTCTAACGAAATTTTTCTGTTTCTCGGCAATTTGCTTAACCTTTGAGATGCATCTTTCACTCGTCAAGTGCGTCTTCGGATTTCAGTGCCGCATTTTCCATCCTCTGTTAAAACACTTCCCATGTATTTAAACTTCTGTACTTGTTTGATGTTGACATTTGGAAAGCATCTTTTACTATTCCTACGCGTTCTTCGGGTTACGGTTTCACATTTTCTGTCTGCTATAACATTTAAATTCCGGTACTTGTTTTATTTTGATGTCTCCTATCTGTGATTTGCATCTTCAGCTGTTCCTCTTGCTAATAATGACTTTGCGTTCCGTCTTCTTATATATATATATATATATATATATATATATATATATGCCTAAATCGACATCAAATACTGATTTATCCCCCTATAAAATATAGAGTTCTAAATAATATTTATAACAGTTAATTGTTTCTTTTCGCTTTTCTTTACGAATATGTGTAGAAATACTTGCAAAGTACTTTCTGTCTGCCAACAATATGGTGTCATCTGCATATCCAATGTTGGGGAGATTGTGCCCACCAATAATTGTCATATGTCGAAATTTTCAACCGCAGGGGACTCACGGTTAATATAAACTGGCTTCTATATAAATATTAATTTTTGAGTTTCTTACAACAGCTTGTGTAAAAGTTAAGATAAACAGCTAGTAAAAAAAAAAACTTAAAATTGAAGTAAATACTTGTAAATAAAATTGGTAATAATAAAATCGAAGAGATTTATTTTTTCATTATTTTTCTGTATTTCGTGTGATTGTTGTTAACATTTTTTTTATCAGCTTTCAAATCTGTTTTTAGCTCTTGTAAGTTCAGTCCACATTTGGGCGTGGCACAGATGTGATCTTGTATTAAGCTAAGATCAGTAAACATTTAACTTGAGCCTTGGCAATCATGGGAATGACTGTCACTTAAATATTCCATATTTACCGAAGTACTTGAGGATTATTTTTCTTTCATCGTTTCTATACAGAACTCAATCAGTCTCTCTCCCCCCCATCTCTCTCTTTCTAACTAGTTGTTATAAATTCGTTTTTTTTACTTACCTCAGTGAGGCCCTCTTTTTTTCCATCCCTCTCTCTATCTCGTTTTTAGCTGTTGTAATTTCCCACCCTTTTTCTTTCTCTCATAGTTTTTTTTTCCTTTTCTTTCTCTACTTTCATCAGTCAGTCGTTTTTTGTTCTCATCTCTCTCTCTTTGTCTCTTTCTATTTCAGGTCTTTATAACTTCCCCGTTTTTTTTTCCTTCCTCTCGTTTCTTCTTTCTCTATTTACCTCAGCCAGTCTCTCTTTTTCCCTTCTCTCTTTCTGATTGTTACAATCATTCCGTTTTTTTTTTCTTTCTCTCGTCGATTCTTTCTGTTTATCTACTTACTCCAGTCAGTCTCGCTTTTGTCCATCTCTCTCTTTGTCTCTTTCTGGTTGGCATAATTTCCCCGTTTATTGTTCTTTCTCTCGTTGTTTCTTTCTGTTTACCTCAATTAGTCTCTCTTTTTCCCATCTCTCTCTCTCTTCCTGGTTGTTGTAATTCTCCCTCCTTGTTTTCGCTTTACTCGTCGTTACTTTTTGTTTCTCTACTTATTTCAATCAGTCTTCTTTTTTCTTAATTCTATCTTTTCTCTCTTCTGTTTGGTTTCATAATTTTCCTTTCTTCCTTCTTCTCGCGTCATTTCTTTTTTGTTTCATTTATCAATCAGTCTTCTTTTTCTCGTTCTCATCTTTCTCTCTTTTCTGTTTGTCATAATTTTCCTTTTCCTTCCTCGTCTGTTTCTTTTTTGTTTCTCTACTTATTTCAATCAGTCTCTTTTTTTCTTACCTCTTTTCTTTCTCTCTTTTCTGTTTGTCATAATTTTTCCTTTCTTCTTCTCGCGTCATTCTTTTTGTTTCTCACTTGCTTTTCAATCAGTGTCTCTTTTTCTCACCTCTATCTTTCTCTTTTCTGTTTCATCATAATTTTTCCTTTCTTCCTTCTCATGTCATTTCTTTTTTTCTCCTACTTATTTCAATCAGTCTCTCTTTTTCTTACCTCTATCTTTCTCTCTTTCTGTTTGTCATAATTTTCCTTTCTTCCTTCTCGCGTCATTTCTTTTTGTTTCTCTACTTATTTCAATCAGTCTCTCTTTTTCTCACCTCTATCTTTCTCTCTTTCTGTTTGTCATAATTTTCCTTTCTTCCTTCTCGCGTCATTTCTTTTTGTTTCTCTACTTATTTCAATCAGTCTCTCTTTATCTTACCTCTTCTGTTTGTCATAATTTTCCTTTCTTCCTTCCCCATTTCTTTTGTTTCTCACTTATTTCAAACGTCTCTTTTCTTCCTTTCTTCCCTTCTTTGGTCATAATTTTCCTTTCTTTTCTCGTCATTTCTTTTTTGTTTCTCTACTTATTTCTCAGTTTTCTTTTTTTACCTCTATCTTTTTCTCTCTTTTCTGTTTGTCATAATTTTTCTTTTTTCCCTTCTCGCTATGTCATTTCTTTTTTTTCTCTACTTTATTTCAATCAGTCTCTCTTTTCTTACTCTCATCTTTCTCTTTTCTGTTTGTCATAATTTTCCTTTCTTCCTTCTCGACATTTTTTACTTTTGTTTTCTCTACTTATTTCAATCAGTCTCTCTTTTTCTTACCTCTATCTTTCTCTCTTTCTGTTTGTCATAATTTTCCTTTCTTCCTTCTCGCGTCATTTCTTTTTGTTTCTCTACTTATTTCAATCAGTCTCTCTTTTTCTCACCTCTATCTTTCTCTCTTTCTGTTTGTCATAATTTTCCTTTCTTCCTTCTCGCGTCATTTTGTTTCTCTACTGACGTCTGCCACTCTCTCTTTTTCATATCTCTCCCTTTATGTCTTTTTGTCTGTTACAATTTCCTGACGTATTTGTGTATTTATAACAATCATTTATGACATCCTTTCTTTTCGACCGACATTTATGGTGCAAAATCGTCTAACATTTTATTTTATGGACTGATTTTATTCTATTTTATACACATTCATTTTCCCGACCGGCTGTATGGGATGGCCTTCACGAGAGATCAAATCACAGAAGATCTTTTCAATACTCCAGAACTCTCCTCAGTAACACCTTTTTCTCATGTTGGTTCACTATGTAGTATCTGATGTCCTCCTTTACCTTGTTTCTGCTTTCAATCAGTTACCAGTCTGTTTAATGCGGGAATGTCAGTCCAGGGAATCCAACCTTGCAGCAACACTTATTGCACTAAAGCGGGAACATTGATGGATACTGACGTAGATTGATGCTTTTTTGTCCTTGAGTCATATGTCCACGTCTTTATCATGTATCACATTCTATCACCATAGTGTAGGTAGGTAAATACCGTACTGTTCACAATGTTCTTACTGATTTTAATATTTACTGTAATTTATGGATTTTAAGGTTTGATGTATGGTCATATCTTTTTCATTCTTTGATCCTGCTTTTCTCTTGTCCAAATGTTGTTGGTTTTGGCTCTGCTGGAGATTTGAAAATTAATAGTAGCTCGAGTCGCTCGGTTATATTTTAGTGGTCCATTGAACAATTTCGCTTCGGAATAGTTGTAACAAACGAGAATTAGAATTTCTACAGTAATCTACGCCACATTAAAATACTAAAAATTGAAAAAACAACTCTAAAACTAGCAGAAAACGAGATCAAGCTACTGAAGATAGCGATCCTTTTATTCTACCGAACGTTTTGAATGTGAAAACTGAATAATAACTGATAAGGATATATAAAGGAAGGATTACATATATAAAGGAAAATTATATAAATATTATAATTTATTATATAAACTAGCAACATGGCCCGGCGTTGCCAGTGCTTGATTCAAAACTCGTACGACTCCCACAGCAATTGCTATCACTTGACTTAAAATATTTTTGCCCTTCCTTGCCTTTAAAGGGGTGCCCTTTGCCGTTCTGATATTGCTACATACCACATTTCGTGCCTATCTCACACTGCGAATTTTTTCGAGTCACATCAAGTCATCTGCCAGGCAGGCTTCTTTTTATCTGGCGGCGCCTGGGACGTCTTTATAGTGGGAGTGACGAGGAGGCCTAAGCAATTCTTGTTCCTCGGTACATGTTTATTGACACTGTAAACTCGTTCTTTCACATTTGGTACGAAGTGGACGTACACAAAAATACTATCACAAATGGTAAATACTTCCCATGTATGTTCGCTATCCTCCCCCAGGTATGGATTAAATTTTATCCGAAAAAAAGTTTGTTATTTTCAAAAATTGTTAATGAAACATTCACTCGCAAAAAATATTTTTAAAATGTAAAATATGTTTCGGCTTTCAATCACCCACAAAGGGTTGATAAACCGTAAAGACAAATCAATCAATTCCTATTTATGCTCTTGATGAGGCGCTGCGGCAGAATTTCGTTTTGGAAATCTTGTTTATTTTTTTCTAAAAATTTATTCCTTTTCAATTTGATTTGAATGCTTGAATCTGATTCCAGTGTATTTTGTTGTGTTCATTTTTTTTATTTCTTTAATGCAATCATCTTTACAATTTCGCAAGAATAAACGTTCTTCTTTTTCTTCTTTTCTTGACCCATCAGGATGTGGGTGATTATGGTTTTCCACAGGATCTCGTCCTTTAAACCCATAAGCAGCATTTATTCTTTCCCTATAACTCTCAGTACCGCTTCCGGTCATCTAATTACACAAACCCATTATCTAGCTTACTATCTGTTTCTCCTCCCCTTCATTTTTCAGTATGTCCCGTGAGTGTTAAATTCTCCAAACACTCTTGCCTCCTTATGTGTCCAAGAAATTTCAGTTGCCTTTTTTTAATTGACATTAGGAGTTTTCTTTTCGTTCCCATTTCCCTTATAATGTCTTGCCATTATTTTATGCAAACTAAATAGGAAATAGTCATAATGAAGACAATTCCGTTAGACAACTGTTCACTAAAATAGAAAGACTGGTGAATTTTGCGACATCCTTGTTGGGTTATTTGAGGTCAAAACATGTATTTTATTAATCTTCGATCTAGAGATAAAAGTGATCAGGTTTTCACTTGAGATTATAGATTAACATTGGTTTAAGCTATACGTATGTCTATTTGTAAATATTGGTTGGGTTTACAATTTAGTTTATAGGTAAGCATTGGTGGGATTTATACTTTAGTCTCTCGGCAAACATTGGTTGGGTTTATACGTTAATTTATAGGTAGACATTGGTGGTATTTCTATTTGAGTTTGTCGATAAACACTAGTGAAATATATATTTTGTCTATCGGTAAACATTGGTGAGATTTATACTTTAGTCTATAGGTAAATATTGCTCGGGTTTATACTCTAGTCTATTGGTAAACATTGGTCAAACTTATACTTTAGTCTAAACACTGGTCAAACTTTAGTCTATTGGTAAACATTGGTCGGGTTCATACTCTAGTCTATAGGTAAACATCACTTGACAGAAAACAGCTTCGGTGTTCCATCAGACTTTTTAGGATTTTTGCAGCTTTTAGTAATGCTGTTTCTCAAAATGGTTTCGATTCTTCTTCAGATTTCTAGTTCTTCCAATCTATTTGTATACATATTTTTATTGACAAGAAAAACAGCTACAATGTCTGATTTCTGGAGACGTTAGTGTGGATTGTGTTTCTTATGAACCACACGTGAGTATCTACGTGACAAAGTAGATTGTCTAGGTTGTATTGATTCGACATTTACTTTTACCATTCCTATACTGGAATTAAACAATAATTCATGTACAAAGTTGTCTGCGTAAATTTAAAAATTTTAGAAACAAAGACAAGAGTACTGAACTATTATGCAATATCGGTCCTCCTATATGGCACTGAATGCTAAACAATCTCATCACAAATGAAGAAAATACTTGAAGCAACAGAAATGTTTCTACAGAAGAATGCTGAGAATACACGAGTAAGTTTTAAATAAAATGGGAAAATCAGAAAAAGACAGTTGAAATTTCTAGAGCACATAATGAGGAAAGACGGTTAAGAAAATTTGACACTCACATGGCATATTGAAAACAAGAAGGACAGAAGAAAACAGTTCATAACTTACTTAAAGTGCTTGTGTATATGGTTGGTACAATAGGGATTAGGTGAGATAGCAAAATACAGCATTTACTAAGCGCTACAAAGGACAGGAGGTTGTGGAGAGCCATGACCTCCCACGTTCCGTAGAGACACGGCAGAAAGAAAGAGGTGTTAATAGATGTGTACAAGTAGCATCTATACCCCTGTTGTAGCCTCGTGGAACTTCCACTCTTAAACGAAAATGGAAGAGCTCACCTCAGCAGCCATCGTTCAAATGACGAGTTTTAATTTTAAGCAGGTTGCGAGCAACAATTTCCGAGATAAAAAAAAAAAAAAAAAAAATATTTTTCTGACCAACAGTTCGTTTTCGAGTCATTGGAACTCAATATGAAAAATTCGACTCCAACAGCAGAAAGATAATCGAAGCGACTAACCGCCATTTATTTGTCTCTCGCTCATGTTTGGACGGTAGTTCGCCGAAGATAACTATTTAGCGAAGTTCAGCGTCGACGAACGAAGACTGCTAAAAAAAACACCAGGTGTCCGATGTTAACTGCAGCAGCCGAGGCCACTACGCGATTAAACGTCTACGATGCGATAAAGCACATACACCTGTCTATTTTTCTCACGTGATTTTTTTTCTCTATAACTGCGATGCAATACCAACTCATACATATACGGTAGAAGCATATTTGTATATCGCCCGAGTCGAATTTATTTATAAATCCTCCTTTTCCCTTTGATAACGTCCCATCGCCATTGTCGTGCGTTACCATCTCCCCAATTACTTTTCTGTTTTCGATACATAACAAACAAGGCCTTTTTATACTTACCTCTACTGTAGCTCTATCAACGCTCCTATGAGTTCAGTTTAATACTTTAAGTTATTATTAATCTTTCATGTGTATTTATTTCGTCTTAATTTCAGTTACTTTTTATCCCAAATCCTACATAATCATTCTACTACTCGTACTAATTAGCGTATATTGGAAAGTTTATTTGGCTAATGAACTTATAGGGAACCCCTGAGTCGGAGCCACCCTCCAAATGTCCCGTATCCGTCTTGAATATATATATATATATATATATATGTATGTATTTTACTCCTGATATATTTTAGCCACATTTACGTAGCTTGAAATAAACTTATTGGAAATTCTTGCAAATTTTTTAAAGAAACTCGAATAGCTATCTTTTGTTTGTCAATAAAAAATATTCTTTAAGAAATACTGCTATTTTACTATTTATTGCAAACCAAATTAACACATATTTAATCCAGCCGTAGTAAAAAAAAAAAATAACCAACATTATAACAGATTTTAGTTATCGAATACAGTAAAAAAATGCATATTTTACTTTTGATTCATAATTAGAATTTTGGTTTGAATATATTTTTAATTCAATGTATCTAATACAATGTATATACATTTATTCGGATTTATTCATGAAATAGTAAAATTTTGAAGTGAGCTTGTAAGCAAAAACCTGAGGAAATTAGGTATTTACTTACATTTTTACAGACGATCTTTTGATGTGTTAGTAGCCATGGTCAAATGGAAAAAGAAAAAGAAATGACAGAAATGTCCCACAAACAGAATTAACAAAGATTGCAATAAAAAGAAAAGTGGGGGGGATGAAATAATATCAAGCAAGCAAACAATATATGCAAAAGCAAATTCACAAGTAAGAAAAAAAGTTTACAAACTTGTCTACACATAAAAGCAAGGTCAGACAAGCGAACGCAGTGGTCTGTCTTCGAAATAAGTCAGATCTGGAATGAGTCAAGTCAAATTGTAAACCAACCTATTTTATTGGCTAAGAAAACTAGTTGCTCAAAAATTGATAAAAGCTATTA